TGGGAGGAAACGAGAATGGAGCAGCCAAATGGCATCTCGAGAAAGGAACAGGGCCCGTTCCTTGAGCGTGCCCGTGGCAGGCCAGGCTTGGAAACCAGCCGGACCCGTGTCTCGCCAACTGGCTTGCCAAAATTGGCAACTTTCTTGTCACTCCTTCTGCTGCCTTCCCGGATTCCAGGAAGCGCCATCTCAAAAGAGCTGCCTCAATCCCAAAAACGGTGTCCCGGCAGCTTCACGTTTGATGTTTTGGCCTCCCTGCTCCGGGGAAAACTCTCTCAGCCCGCCACCATTGGTGTCCTCTGAGGCAAATGCTTTGGGATCTTCTCTTAAGTGGTTCCTCCCGTTTGCAGGGAGATATGGCTTGGCATTTGACACGACTTTTTGCGTTCCTTGTTTCCCCGAGGGGGCGTGAATTTGCACTGGGGCCCTTTCTTCACTTGGAGGGGTCAGCAACCTTAAACACTCAAAGAGCCACAAAGGTCCTAACCGGAAGCCCCCATTCAATTCAATTCCGACCGGAAGTCCGGTTCCCCCACCATAGAGTCTCCTCCTGGCACGGCATCCTTTTTCCTCTGCCGATTGGAAGTTGGTTCCCCCATCATAGAGTTTCCTCCTAGCCAGCATCCTTTTTCCTCTGTTGACCGGAAGTCCGGTTCCCCCACCATAGAGTCTTCTCCTAGCCTGGTGTCCTTTTTCCTCTACCTGTCCTAACCGAAACTATTAATTGTGGAGCTGACCAGCAGAGGGATGAAAGAGCCACATGCGGCTCCAGAGCCACAGGTTGCTGACCCCTGGACTAGACAGAGCAGTATTTTTCCACCTTGGCAACTTTAAAACGGGTGGACTTCAACTCCCAGAATTGCTCAGCCATCAAATCAGTTTGCCATTTAATCGTCATGCCCTCTAGTCCACGTTTAACTGGTTTATTAATTCAGCTTGACTGAAATCAAGATATATTACATCTACCGCATTCCCGCCATCTATTTAAGAAGTTTCACACACCCCCCCGATTTGAGGGGGAATTCTGAGAGTTGGTCCTCCCATGTTAAAGTTGTTGAGATTAAAGAAGGCTGTGATAGAGACCAGTTGAACTCCAAAATCCAGGCTCCCCGTCTTCTTTCCCCGTTTCCTGATGTCACAACATCGTTATCTCTCCTTTTCGCCGTAGGTCTGAGGCAGCACGATGGCTTCGGTTGTGGAGCTCACGGACAACAGCCATTCCAGTTCCCTTCTGATCCAGTTGAACGAGCAGCGGCTGCGCGGACAGTTCTGCGACATCACCATCATCGCCGAAGACACCAAGTTCAAGGCCCATAAAAATATCCTCGCAGCCTCCAGCCCGTACTTCAAGGAGGTCCTCTCCGAGGAATCGGTGTGTCGCCAGCCGAGCCAGATCCTGGAGCTTCCTGACATCCAGGCTAAAGTCTTCTCGGACATCTTGAACTTCATTTATAATTCTCGGCTCTCGGTGCCCAGTCCGGCAGTTGCCAAGGAGATTGGGGCGGTAGGCCGACGGCTGGGCATCTCCCGCTTGGAGAACCTGGATGACCCCTTGGCAGAGGTCAAGATGGACAGTCCCAGCATGGCCTCCGCTCGAGGGTGTGGTTCACCCATTGACCTCACCTGCCCTTCCCGTTCCGCGGAGCCTTCCAGCCCTGTTTGCTTGCAGGATTTGACCAAAGCGTACAGCCCCAGGCAGGACTCCCGCCCTGACTCCGAAACCGAAACCGCCAAGATCCTTTACAACCTGAGCTCCGTCGCGACCGTACCACCCTCCGCCTCTTCTGATCTGACCTTTATGCTGAAGGAAACAGTCGGTTGGGACCATAACCTCTCTGGGACTCCTCCTGTCACTTCAGTCAACACCAACGATGGGGTGCCGGCATCAACCTCTTCTTCCTCACCCTCGTCCCCATCCGGGGCTTCCTACCCATCCAGCAGCACTTTCTGCTGCGGAAGCTGCAACCGTTCTTTCACGACGTCTTCGGCCCTCAGCCTCCACATGAAGCTCCACCGGACACGGCGCTCGCTCTCCTGTCGCCACTGCGGCAAAAGTTTCATCCACATCAAGCGGCTGCAGACGCACGAAGTCTTATGCAAGGAGGTGGAGAAACCCAAGGAGGGCGCCACTGCAGACAAGGCACCAGCCAGCCCAGAGTTACCTTCCAAGCCGACAGTAGCAGCGGCATCTTCCAAAAAGGGTATACTTTTCCGCCACCGGGGCCCCCCACGAGTGGATTATCTCTCCGACCAAGACCATTTTGTCAAAGTCGTCGACGGGCACATCATCTACTTCTGCACCGTCTGCGAGCGGTCCTACATGACCCTTTCCAGCCTCAAGCGTCACTCCAATGTTCATTCCTGGCGCCGGAAGTATCCGTGCCGCTACTGTGACAAGGTGTTCGCCTTGGCCGAATACCGCACCAAGCACGAGGTCTGGCACACGGGGGAACGTCGCTACCAGTGCATCTTCTGCTGGGAGACTTTTGTGACTTATTACAACCTGAAGACTCATCAGAAGGCCTTCCACGGCATCAATCCCGGCCTCATATCCTCCGAGAAGACCCCCAACGGGGGTTACAAGCCGAAACTGAACGCGTTGAAACTCTACCGCCTGTTACCCATGCGCTCCCAAAAGAGGCCATATAAAACGTACAGTCAGGCGGTGGTGCCCGAGGACCTGCTGCATCCAACTCACGCCATCCCCATGACGCTGGGGGAGGGTGACTCCTTGGATGGAAACTTGGTCTCCTCCTTGAGCGCTAGCGACGTGGCTTCTGTGTTCACCGCCAAGAATGCCTCTTTAGAATTGCCAGAGGCGGAACAGGAGCACCAGCAGGAAAGCACGAGCACCCAAGACACGTCTGTCCTTCCGGCTACCGGTGAGGAGGCCCAGCTGGGCAAGCCGCCCCGGTCTTTGAGCACAGAGGCTCCCACCGTCATTGCCTACGGGCACCCCACCTCTTCTGTGATCGTTCATAGCACCTCGGTGAAAGCCCAAGCTCCTTCCGTGATCACGTACAACAGCACATCATCCAGCGCCCCGTTGAACATGGGGACTCCACCGTCCCAGTTGGCCCCTTCTCCGGTTGTAACCAAACCCATTAAGAAGCAGGTCCTGAGGGAATACATTCAGTCCCAGAAGATGGAGGAGCAGGCTTCAGAAGAGGACAGCAGCGAGAAAGGGTTCAAGGCGAGGGGATCACGATCTGGGCGTACCATGACTTACATGGCTAAACCAGCCTGTGTGGGAGCCACCTCCGAAAGCCGAGCGGCTCCACTCTGCCAGATCACAGTACGCATCGGCGAGGAAGCCATCGTCAAGCGGCGGATCTCCGAAACAGACCTCATGCTCGACAAGAGCAGCCGGGTGGGAGGCAGACGCCTGGATTTTGGCCGCGATCAGAGCGGTGAGAAACCGCACCACTCCCTGTTGCCTCCAACGCTCCACAGCAAGCATGCCGACAGGGTGTTTGCGAACGAGAGTGGCGAGGAGGACAGCGACCACGGAGACACGGAAGACCAACTTTGGCGCCCCTACTACAGCTATAAACCCAAAAGAAAGGCCGGCGGTGGAGCCGGCAGCAGCGCCGGCAACGCCCTGCCGAAGATGAAAAAGTCACGGTGGCGACACAAGCTGCGTTCCCTGCGCTGGATGAAGCGGTCGGAGGAAACCAAGGAGGGAAGCCGAGCGGGACCCCACCGTCCAGGGTCTGCTGAAGTATCTGGGGGACAGGGAGCTGCCTCCGACCGGGAGGAGATGGATCAGCCGATCAAAGTGGGAGGCGGGCGGGGCACCGAATGGAAGCATGAATGTGGCATTTGCGGCAAACTTTTCTCAGCCCTCAAGAAACTGAGGAAGCACGAACGGGTACACGCACGCCTCACCAAGGATGACCAGGCCCTGGCGGTTTTGACAGCCACCCCCCACCGCGTGGGCCGCAAGCCTCTGGTGAAGTTTGCCTGTGCCCACTGCACAAAGGTCTGCAAGACCGCGGCGGCCCTGAGTCGCCACATGAAACGGCACGAGGGCCAAGAGGAGGTCCCCCTGCCAGTGCTTACCACGGTCATTGCTTATTCTAAGAAGGCCACTGACGTGCCCCTGGCCACCCCACCACCAGTGGTCAAGGAGGAGACCACCCAGGAGATGCAGGTGTCTTCTTCCAGTGGGGAGGCGCCCGGAGGCCAGCCAGAGGTTCCCGAGGAGGGCTGTGTGGAAATGGAGCCCTGCAACGGGCATACGCTGGCCCCTCTGCCCGAAGACGAAAACCTGGCACAGCAAGGGACAGACAAGTCCCTTTTCCACGAGGAGATGCCCGCCCGCTCGCCACCGCTACAGGCCACCACTACCACCACTAGCCTTGCCGATCTGGCCCCAGATCTGCCCCATTCTCTTCAAGATCCCGTCATCTCTCACACAGGCCTGGTTCAGAAAGAGATCCTGGCATCCCAGGAGATGGAAGGCGACCGATACCCAGTCCAGGAGTACCCCTTACCGCTGCTGGTGCCCGGGAGTTGCCGGAGCAGAAAGGATGTGGAAGACAAGCCCTCGTTCCTGGCTTATCCCAGCGCCATCCAGTTCAACGCCGTCAGCAAAGCCGGGAGCAGCAGCGGAGATGGCAAAGTCAGCTTCTACCCTGACCCCTACCCGCTGATGTACGGGCACCAGCTGCTGGCCGCCTACCCGTACAATTTCACCCTGCCGGTGGCTTTGAACATGGTCATCCCGGACGACAAGGGTCAGCCCTTGCCTTTCCTGCCCAACGTCTTCAGCTATGCGATGAACCCTTGCCGGGGCGTGGTGGGGCACGAGGGGGCCCCGGTACCCCACGGGGGTCTGGGGATGGGCAGTTCAGCTCGGGAGAGCAGAGGAGAGCCCGCGGTGCCTGAGAGGCTGAAGAAAGGCGGGCTCCTTTGAAGGGCCGTCCATCCGTCATTCCGACGGGGCAGGAAAGGGGGCACCGGATTACCGTGGAAGAAAGGCAAGACGGGAGATTGGCCGACCTCCACCCCTCTTCGGTTCTGAGAAGAGGGGGGGGTTGTGTGCTTATGAGAACCGGTGGGGGGTGGGTGAGTGCGGAGGGCCCCCAAAACGGGGGCAGGTAGACGAGACCCCTCCCCCTTCCTATCAGTGGCATTTCGCATGGGACCGTGTCGTAGAGAAGACTTCTTTAAAAAAAATAGCAAAAATAGGTACAGGGTACCCTCTTTTTCTCCCCCCCCCCCCACTCCCACACGCCTGGTTCCTAAACCCCCCTATGAATTTTGTTTGTAGACACAAATAAGAGTGAATTTGCACAAGGAACCGTTCTTCACCCTTCTGACTCCACCCACCCACCCACCCCTGTCCCCAGGGCTATTTCCGGCCTGTTTTTCTTCGGCTCCTGACCCCTTTTTGCCCCCTCCTCTGTACTTTTGCTGCTGGGAGGAGGGCAGACTAGTTTGAAAGAAGTAGCCTCTTTAATGTAGCTCCTCCCCACTACTGTTGGGGTATCTGCAGACCTCTCCCCTTCCCCTTCTACTGTTGGGATGTCTGCAGATCCTTCCTCTCCCCTCTACTGTTGGGATGTCTGCAGATCCTTCCTCTTCCCCTCCACCCTGCTGTTGGGGTGTCTGCAGATCCTTTCTCTCCCCTCTACTGTTGGGATGTCTGCAGATCCTTCCTCTCTCCTCTATTGTTGGGATGTCTGCAGATCCTTCCTCTCCCCTCTACTGTTGGGATGTCTGCAGATCCTTCCTCTTCCCCTCCACCCTGCTGTTGGGGTGTCTGCAGATCCTTTCTCTCCCCTCTACTGTTGGGATGTCTGCAGATCCTTCCTCTCTCCTCTATTTTTGGGATGTCTGCAGATCCTTCCTCTCCCCTCTACTGTTGGGATGTCTGTAGATCCTTCCTCTCTCCTCTATTGTTGGGATGTCTGCAGATCCTTCCTCTCCCCTCTACTGTTGGGATGTCTGTAGATCCTTCCTCTCTCCTCTATTGTTGGGATGTCTGCAGATCCTTCCTCTCCCCTCTACTGTTGGGATGTCTGCAGATCCTTCCTCTTCCTCCCCACCCTGCTGTTGGGGTGTCTGCAGATCCTTCCTCTCTCCTCTATTGTTGGGATGTCCGCAGATCCTTCCTCTCCCCTCTACTGTTGGGGTGTCTGCAGATCCTTCCTCTCCCCTCCACTGTTGGGGTGTCTGCAGATCCTTCCTCTCCCCTCCACTGTTGGGGTGTCTGCAGATCCTTCCTCTTCCTCCCCACCCTGCTGTTGGGGTGTCTGCAGATCCTTCCTCTTCCCCTCTACTGTTGGGGTGTCTGCAGATCCTTCCTCTTCCCCTCTACAGTTGGGATGTCTGCAGATCCTTCCTCTTCCCCTCTACCCTACTGTTGGGGTATCCTTCCTCTCCCTTTATTCCCTTCCTGCTCTTCCTTCGGCCCAGCCCCCAGCTCCTCCACTTCGCTTGCACAGCAGCTGGCGGAGCGGAGTGCGTGTATGCGCGCGCGTGTTGGGGGGGGGGAAGTGCTGTGCGTGCGATTTGTTTTCCAACTGGCTGAATGTGATGAATCACATTTTCCTTTTGGGCAGAAGGAAGGCAGCCATGGACGGGGGGGGGGGGGGGGAGGGAGGGAATTGCGGGGAGCAAAGCTTGCCAAGCCAGAGAGGAACGGAAGGACTATTTCTTCCTTTTTTTTTTCTTTCTTTCTTTCTTTTTTTTTCTGGGTCCCACCTCAGAAAGATGGAAGGGCCCCAGACAGCACGCACGAAGAGGGCACCCTGTTTGGAAAAAATGGCGGGGAAAGGGGTAGGGGCTTAAATCAATAGATTTGCCCTCTCTGGTGCCCAGCAGCAAAAAAACAAAAAAAAAACCCTCCTCTCCTCTCCTCCCCCTCCCCAACACCCCCCTCCTCCCCCATCCCCCCACCCTCCCAGTATAAATGACCAAGGTTCAGCAATAGGCAATTTCATCTATACATGTAATAATGTTCTCTCTCTCTTTTTTTTTTTTTTAAAAAAAGTCGTGTTACGTTCTGTTTTTTTTTTTTTTCAAAATGGGTGGCCTAGTTTAAAATAATAATAACGGGGCAGATCTCCCCAAGGAAAAGTCTGCAAGATGTGGGGCGGGGCGGGGGGGAGAGGCTGGAACTGTGGGTCCCAGGAGAAAAGAGAAGGCCGGATAAAGACGCTTTGTCGTGGACCAACTGAAGTTTGCGTTGCACAAAACTCAGCCGTGGAGACTCCCAATCTCCCCAAAACGAGCACCCCCTCCTTGTCTTCCCTTTCTGGCCCCTCCAGGTGAAAATTTTTCAACTCTTCCTTCCTCCGCGATTCAAAATATCAACACGCTCTCGCCCGCACCCTCTTCCCCGATTTTGATCGGAGGGGACGGTGTTCCCCAAAGGACCAAAAACGAGCACATTTTATTGTACAATTATTTGCGGAAGGAAGAAATCACCCAAAGCGTTCTTAAGATTAAATTCTCACCGGTGATTCTCCCTGTAAATTTTTTTTATTTTAGATCCATTTCCCCCACCCACCCCTTTTTTTTTTTTTTAGGAAGATGGAGGAGGGGAATATCCAGAAGGTTGCCAAAGGCCCTGCTGCCTGGTGGATGATAGGAGTTGTAGTCCCAACCCCGGCCTAAATGTCGTAGCTTCGTTTGTGGTGGCATAACCATCTTCCAAATTTAACTTTTTTTGTGTATGTCCCCCCTCCCCGTTCCCGCTGCAGGGAAGTCTCCAGAGGACCCCCCCTCTCCTCCGTGTTTTTTCCTGGCCTGCCGTTGCCACAGCATCATCCCAGGCGTCGCGATGTACATTCCCATCGTTTGTGGAGTGACACGACCTGTGTGATTGTTTTCTGCAACCCTGTGAAAGACACCCCCTCCCCAAGCTTAGTCTGGGTGGGGGCATTGCCACTCCTCTTTGGTGGAGGGGGGGGAACCCTTCCAGATAAACCAGTCCCCCCACCTCCGCAGCTTTGGCTGTGATCCATGGCACGCACAGGTCCGCCGCGAAGTTCCCTGGACAGTACACTGTGTAGAATTCCCAGTGTAGAATCCAACCGAAGAGTTGGAGTTCGGGCCCCAGGACCGCAACCTTTGAACCCTGTTCCACCTGCAAAATTGGGAAGCCACGGTGCTGGAGGGGGTTCCCACCTGCCTTCCCCCCCCCTGCTTCTGCGGTGGCTGGCTCCAGGGATCACCGCCGTGGAAAAAAATCCCTTCCCACGCGAGGGATGCTATTGTTTCCCCCGACGCTGCAACTCTTTGCCGCACTCCGGCACGCCAGAGTTTGCGTGCACACATGCAGATGACGGGCATGCGGTCCTCCCTGCTTTGCGGCTGTAGCCGAGTCGCGCCACACCACGCACATTTCTGCCCATCCTTTCCCTTTCCTGACACCGAGACCCGTGGCCCCCTCCTCTCCTTTTCTGCCACGATGAGACTTCTCCCTCTCCCCCCACCTCCCCCCGTTGTCTTGCCAGCCCTTCATGCTTCCGACATCCGATTCATTCGACATCCGATGCATTCGACATCCGATGCATTTGGTGGTTGACAGCAAGCTGCGCTGTGCTGCAGCGGGATTCTCATGCACATTTCCCGTCCTCTAGCAGGCGCACAGCCCCTTCCACGCTCTTCCTCTCTCCCCCTTGAAGGGTGTGGTACCCAGGGCTGGCATTTTGGAATATGTTAGGGTACTGCCCTTCTTCAATTTTCTCCTGGGATTTTTTTTGGTGGGGGGGTCTTGTCCAGGGCATAACTCTTGCTTGCAGATCTGGTGTGCAGAGGCCTCCCAACTAGCTAGGTTACAGCACACGAGGGAGCAGGGGTCTTCCCAATCTCGGACCCCAGTGGGTTTTGGAGCGAGGGAGGGGGTCTGCATTTCCAGCAGTGCCCCCCTTGATCGCATCCTGAGATGGGAGGGCAAGGGTGACGGGGGCCGGGCGGAGGGAGAGCACGCGCCAAAGGTATTTTGGATGGTTTCCCCCCCCTCCGCCAGGGCAGGAGGCTCTGGGTTCTTGGGGGGGGGGCATTGGGGGCAGAAGGGGGAAGTCGCTGACATGTACATAGTGGTCTTTTGCACTTTGTCACCGGGGGGGCTCCGGTGATCGTTGACCGTTTGCTACTGAATGTAACTCGTCTTTATTTTTTATTTTTTAGAAAGCACCTCTAGGTAGTTTTATGGCACTTTAGATATTTACTGAAAACTGTTTAAGGAAACTACAGAAAAGCAAAAAAAAATAAATAAAATACAATAAGAGAGAGGGCGCGCGCGAGAAAGAGAGAGAGAGACGGAGAGAGAGAGGAAAAACAATATCGAGAGTTAGGCGAGAGAGAGAGAGAGAAAACGCGAGAAAGCAGGAAAAGACCAACCGTTTCAAAATCACGTCGGTCATAGTCCCGAGGACAAACCATCGTTTTTTTTCTGCCGCTTTTTTCCCGGTCTCTGTTCCAAAATTGTGACAGTGTTGAGGAATCCGTTAGACAATTACCGTATTTATCTTTCTGCATCTTTGTGTGTAACTCAAATAACTTCTTCAGAATAAAACAACAATTATATGTTGATGGGTGACCCTCTTCGGAAGCGCGCCCGACCGCCGCTTGGTTGTCTGAATTAACCACAATTCTCAGCCGGGAGTCAAAAGAGACTGAATGGGGGGGCTACACACCCATGTGGGCAGGGAGTGGGGTTTGTGGGAAGGAGAGAGGGGGGGAAAGAGGAGGAGGATAAAGGCTGAGGGCGCTGGTTAAACCCCACTTCCTTCTAGCACTGATGATGTTCCCTAGTTGGGTCGTGAAATGTCTGCAAATAAACCACCAAGCTTGGAGACCACCAAGTACGCCACGGACGTCCTCCTCCTCCTCTCCGCAAACCCTCCTTTCTAGCACTGATGATGTTCCCTAGTTGGGTCAGGAAACGTCTACAAGAAAACCCCCAAGCTTAGAGAGCACCAAGGACCCCACAGTTCTCCTTCTCCTCCTCTTCCTTTCCACAAACCCTCCCTTCCAGAACTGATGATGTTCCCTAGTTGGGTTGTGAAATGTCTGCAGGAAAACAACCAGACTCGGGGAACACCAAAGACCCCCCCCCCTCCACAGTCGTCGTCGTCCTCGCAAACCCCTCTCCCTTTTAGCACGGATGATGTTCCCTAGCCGAGTCACGAAATCTCTGCAAGAAAACAGCCCAGCTCAGAAGGCACCAAAAATCCCACAGTCGTCGTCCTCCCTGCAAACCCCCACTCCCTTCTAGCACTGATGACGCTACTTAGTCGGGTCATGAAACGTCCGTGAGAAAACAACCAAGCTCAAAGCGCACCAAGAACCCCACAGCCTTCCACCACCACCACCTCCTCGTTTTCGCCAACCGTTCCAGCACTGATGCTGTTCCCTAGCTGGCTCATGAACCGTCTGCCGGAAAGCCACCCAACTCCGAGAGCTCCCAGGACTCGAGTACAAAATGGAATCGCAGCTTCAACCTGCTACCTTACCCACTTTTGCAAAATCTTCGCCATCCCTAGAACCCGCAAATCCAAAGTCAAGGGTTTATTTTTGTCTTTCTGTTGTTAATTAATTAATTAATTGTGGGGGGGGGCTGCAGGGGAGGGGGCTTAAGATACCCCCCCCGAGCCCCCTGGTCCTCCCTCAATGTCCCAAGATGCTGCTCTCCGGCCACGTTTGACCTGCCCAGGTGGGGTCTCCAAAAAAAACACACACACCTCTAGTGAGCCTGCTTGTATTTGAGGGAGGGTCTTTTCAATTGCAGCCAAAGAAAAAAATTATTTGGAAGCAGCTAAGGATTCTCCCCACCCTTCTTCCAGATGCTGTCCACCCAGCTCTGTGTACCCCAAAGGGGAACGTCTTTGGGGGGAGCAGGGGGGAAAACGGGGTGGGGTTCCCCCCCTATTTTATGAGTGGAAAAGGGGGGTCTGGGCCTTGTAGCTAGGCACGCGTTACAAATCACACGTTGGGGGGAAGCAGCCTTTTCTATAGGTCGGGGATTCAAGAGGGATCTCCACTTTATACATTTGGGGAGGGGTTAAGATTAAAGGATGTGGGGCTCCAGATAGCTCTCCCCCCCCCCTGGAAACCTGGCCCAAGAATCGGATCTGCGAGTCATTTTCCCAACAAATCCCATTTTATTCAAAGGCTGTAGAGGTCTGGACCTCAACTCCCAGAATTCCCCAGCCCCAGCCTGGAATTCTGGGAATTGAAGTCCACTCCTCTGCCCAATCAGAATAGAGCTGGAAGAGGCCTTGGAGGTCTTCTAGTCCACCCCTCTGCTCGAACAGGAGAGACCCTCTACAATTTGAGACAAGTGGCTGTCGTCTCTTCTTAAAAAACTTCCAGATGATGGAACAGCTTCTGGTGGCAGGTAGTTCCACTGGTTCATTGTCCTCGCTGTTACGAAATTTCTCCTTGGTTCTAGGTTGCTTCTCTCTTTGGTTAGTTTCTTGTCCTGCCTTCAGGTGCTTTGGAGAATAGGCTGACCCCCAACTCTTCTATGGGGCAGCCCCTCAAATACTGGAATCCTGTTATCATGTCTCCCCCCCCTAAACTCAAATCCTGCAGCCGTTCTCCAGACCTTCGATCCTCTTCGTTGCTCTTCTCTGCGCTTTTTTTCCCAAAAGTCTTGTTTTTTTGTAACATGGGGACCAAAACTGGACTGCAGAATTACTCCAGGTGTGGCCTTTTACTAAGGCTTTACAAAGCGGTAACTAATCCTTCCCGTGATTTTGAGTCTCTGCCTCCGTTTATACCACCGAGGATCGTATTCGCTTTTGGGGCTGCTGCCCCCCCCCCCCAGGGCCGGCTCACGTTTCAAGGATCGTCGGCTAGGACTCCAAAGCCCATCTACCCCGTGAACCGTTTTTGAGCCAGGTTTCCAGTTGCTAAAGGTTGAGAAACACTGCCGTAAACTCCCTACAACACCCGCCAAGAAACCTAGCCTTAAATATCCCCCTCCCCACACTCCCTTCAGGGTCAGGTTTTAACGCACGGACCCACACCTGCCCCCCCTCCTTTTCAACCTACAACAGCTGGATCTTTGTCCTCACCTCTAATCTTTCCCAGCGTTGTTGCAACCACGAGCAAACAAGCCATCGGCCTCTCGGCTGACGGTCCTTTCACCCCCTCCGAGCACAAGAAGGTGCGCAGATTTCCCCCCCCCCCCGTGCATAATGGAGGCGTGCCAATGTTTTATGCAGCAAACTTACCTGGACTTAAAAAAGAATGCAAAATTGGTTTTTCGGGTTTTCTCCCGCGTAAAATTGGAGGTTTCTTGGCAACGTTTCGACGAAGTCTCATTCGTCATCTTCAGGCTGGTGTTCTCGGCTTCGTGCTTCTAGGAGCAATGCGTGTGATCGCAGCTGTTTCTTCCTTTTAACTGCCAGTGGGGGTGTGGGAAGGAAAAAGGAAGAAACAGCTGCGATCACACGCATTGCTCCTAGAAGCACGAAGCCGAGAACACCAGCCTGAAGATGACGAATGAGACTTCGTCGAAACGTTGCCAAGAAACCTCCAGTTTTATGCGGGAGAAAACCCGAATAACCAAAGACCTACATACAAACACCCGCGAAAACCTCAGAAAACATATATATTTAATATATATATATATATATATATATATATATATATATATATATATATATATATATATATATATATATATATAAAAAAAATTCAATCCTGCCTCGGTTGGATTGCAACTGTTTTGGATCGCGGCTTGTTGGAATGTTTTGGGAATATTCTGCAGCGGAAAAGTTGCGGTGCGGCACACAACCACAGAGGGCAGGGGTGTTGCCAAGAAAATGCCTCCCCTCCCATGTAAACACAAGATGGCATCATTTAACGGAAGGGGAGGCCCCCCCCCACCCTCCCCGCTAATTCTAGGCCAGGGATCTCCAAATTGGCGACTTTTAAAGACTTGCAGACTTCAACTCCCAGAATTCCCCAGCAAGGGAAGGCAATTTCCCAGAATTCAGCACGGATAGGTCAAGAACAAAAGCGGCTTTATCGCATTTTTTGAAAACACTTAATAGACGGTGGGAATGCAGTCGACGTAATATATCTTGAAGTCAGGGAAGTGGGGGGGAAAAAAAAAAGAACTGGCTAGGGAATTCTGGGAGTTGAAGACTTACGACCCATTCATTGAGTGAACTCTTCAGAGCTCCGTAAGCACCGGAAAAAGAGACTTCGGACCGTGTTTCACACTTACGACCGTTTGCAGCTCACTCACGTGATCTATTCAGACGCTTGGGAACTGACTCGTATTTATGACGGTTGCAGTGTCCCCGGGGGTCACGCAACCACGGAAGACACTTGACCGTCAGAGGTTCGAATCCGGGTCTTAAGTAGCCCCAAGGAAAGGTCTGCTGTAACTTTGCACGACCTCTTAAGTGACAGGTTGTAAGTCGAGGACTCCCCATAATGCCAGGAAAAGGCTTAATTCTTCATTATAGGTAGTAGTCCTCCACTTACAGCCGTTCGTTTAGTGGCCGATGTGGAAACGTCAGTGGAAAAAAAAAGTAACGTCGGATGGTTTTTCACACTTACGACACCGCTGCAGCAGCTTCCGTGGTCCCGAGTTCAAAATTCAGACCCTTGGCAACCGACTCATATTTATGACCGTCACGTGACTCCCCTTGTGCGACCTTCCGTCCACGGGGAAGCCGGATTCATTGCACAGCCCTGTTACTCACTTAAACAGCCGCGGCGATTCACTTAACGACGGTGGGCGGGAAGGTCCTTAAAACGGGGCAAAGAGCTCACGTCGCGACCGTCTCGCTCAGCAACGGAAATTTTGCGTTTTTCGCAAAAAGGGGAATCCCTGGAGGGGCAGAAACCCACAGCCGAAGAGAAGAACCCCCCAACTCCCCCCCTCCACTCGCTTCCATAGCCCCCTGACTGGCTTGGGCACTGGCTGCCCCCTCCTGCCCCCCCCCACTCAGCCTGTCCCCTGGTTCCTGCCTGCCCAGGGGAAGGGGCACCCCAAGGCATGTAGACCACCCCGGCTTGGTAAGGAAAGGAAGGTGCCCCTTTCTCTCTTTGTGCCAACTGGCAGCCTCCCTCCCTCCCTCCCTCCCTCCCTCCCAGGGGTCCTGCATGAGCCAGACCCCCAACTCCCCCGTCCATTGGCTTCCTTAGCCCCCTAACTGGCCTGGGCACTAGCTGCCCTGCTAACCCCGCCTCCTGGCACGTGCCTGCCATGGGGAAGGGGCACCCCGAGGCATGTAGACTACCCCAGCTTGGCACGGAAAGGAAGGTGCCCCTTTCCCTGTGCCCAGCTGGCAGCCTCCTTCCCTCCCTCCCTCCCTCTCAGGCCTCCTGTATGAGCTGGACCCCTAACTCCCCCCCCTCCACTGGCTTCCTTAGCCCCCTAACTGGCCTGGCCCAGCCTTGTTGAGCTTGGGGGGGGGGAAGGACTGTCACCCCAAAGCCTTGAGTTGGGGGAGCTGCTCAAACCTCCCCCCCAATCTATAATCTTGTGGCTGGAACGGAGGGGGCCAAGCTTTGCTGGGGACCCTCTTGGGAGGCAGGCGGGGGGTGGGGGGCACCCAGCTAGTCCCCGAATAGCTTTTTTTTTAATTTCCTAGAGAGGGCATGGGGGGGGAGTCAGAAATGGGGGGGGGATACGGGGAGGAAGGATGTGGGGAAAGCCAGGAAGTTTGCCAACGTAGAATGGCGAAAAGTGGGGGGGGGCTTTGTCCGTCCCCCTCTGGTGGGAATCTGGGGGGCTTCCCGATCCGTGTGCCTCCCCCTCCCACAAGGAAAGGGAGAATCGGGCCCTCTCCGGCTTCCCTGGCAGGACCAGGCCGCACTTCCCGAAAAAAGCTGCCTTGGGCTGCCAGCGACTTGCATAACAACATCTGCACCGCAGCCAAGACTGAATTTTTTTTGGGGGGGGGCCTGGCGGCGGGGAGGACTTCCCGTTTCTCCCCCTTAATTGGCGAGGAGCCACTCGGGGAATCTGCTGTCACGCTCACCGAAGAAGCCAGGAAGATCGATCTTTCTTTCTTT